GTTAGCCCGTCTGCAGCAGGCGGGGTGAACCTTAGCCCGTCTGGAGCAGCTGGGGCGAACGTTACCCTGTCAGCAGTGGCCAGGGCTAATATTAGGCTGTATGCCCGCTTTTGTTTTTTTCTCTGGTCACAGAACTAGAATTGAGTTCTTACAAGAACAGCATTTTTTACAAAATTTATACTACAATCAGAGATTAACAATTTCTTTTGAAAAATCTTAATCTCTATTGGGTTTGACCAAAGTCAACCACATCCTGAGATCTTATTAGATGAGAATGTATTACATGAGTTGGGCTGAAGAGTCGCTATAATGTTTACCTGATGAACCTAATTCTAGCTCAAGACCTTGAACTGGTTTTGTTGGTGTTGTTTGTTACTGTGGAAGTTCTTGTTTCCTCACCTTCACATAAAGACAGATCTCATGGTCTTGGTCCTGATGGGTTCTGCTGTCCCTGTGTCCAGGACACTGCGGGCCCTCCACAGTCCTGGGAAAGATCAGGACCTCCTCTCGCTCCTCCAGAATCATCTCCTCGCGCTGCGGCGTGTAGGAATGTCCGTCCTCCATTAGCACCACCCGCTTCTTCTTCACCTGGTCGTCTTTTCTTCTGGACTGGGACTCATCTTTGATGACGGACTTTAACTCTTTTATCCAGTCCTCCTTCTCCGCTGAACATCTCTGTTCCTGCAAAGGTTCCTTAATCCTCCATTCTTGGCCTCTCCTCTCATTCCCGCGGCCGGTTTTCCTAAAAGGCCTCAACTCTTTCCTCCAGTCCTTCACTTCCTCTCCATTCCCTTCACCTGGTTGGTCTCTTTTAATCCAGCCATCGTCTTTTCTCGTGGCAGATAGCACTTTGGGTTTCCTCCATCCCTCTTTCCAAAGAGGTTGCGGTTGAACCCCTACAGTCCGATTCTCTTGCCCCAACCCTTGACCTTCTCCATCCTTCTCTAAACATTTCTCTCCATCATCATTCATTTCGTTCTCATTTGATTTCTCTTCCTCTCCATGCTTAATAACGAGCTGTATACCCGTTTCTTCTTGATTTTCCTCGTTTCCATTCCCAGCATCCACCGTCTCTTCTTGGACGTTTTGACTCTCCTCGCCTTCCATCGATGTGCTTAATGGCCTATTCACATCCTGACTGCTGGCGATCATGGTGGTCTCTACCACATCATCGTCTAACACAGTGACCGGTTCCTCTGCCAGCTGCACTTCTCCTCCTGTAGCTCGTTCTTGCTCTATCTCCGTTTCATCTTCACCACCCTGTAGCCTGTCTTTCTGATCTATTTCTGACTTTCTGAGACCTTGTGCTGGGTATTCCTCTGCTCTCCCTGGTATATCTGTTGTTGAAGTGTTTCCTTTTAATGGGACTTCTGTGTTTCTCTCCATCTGAGGTGCTTCCTTCTCCATAACATCACCACCTACAGGATCATCCTTCACCTGCTGCTCATTGGTTTGTGAAGGACCTTCTGTAGACGGGTCTCCAAGCTGAAGAAACGTCTCTTTCTGTTCCTCTGAAAGACCTCTTCCTTCATGGTTTTCTTGAAATGCTAACTCTCTGATAACTTCATGGAACATCAGACTGGCATCTACATCATCCTTTGTACCATCAGCTTCATGCTGTCGTTCCTCCTGACTAATCCTGGCTCCTCTTCCTCCCTCATCCTCCTCACTCTCTGCCCGTTTTTCGACGGTTGAAGGGGCCGATGTTTCTGCGTCCTTCTCTTCGCACATTTCATGTTCTGCCTTCGAATCCTCGTCAGAGTGGTCATCAGGAGAAACAGATATGGGGTCTTTACTGCCCTCCTGGACCTTTATCTCCATGTTCTGCTTCTTCTCAGTACATGTTTGCTGTTCTACTGGAAACATGTTTATTATTAGGTCAAAGCCTTTCTGTCCATCTGGGTCTTGATGGTTAGATGTTAGCTGGTCACATTGAAAGGCCTCCCCTACATGTAAGCAGTCATTTCTCAGGCCTGGATCGCCATCAGCGCCAATGCTCTCCTTCATCGCACAAATAACTTTGGTCTGGTCTGCTTCTATATCTAAGAAGTCGTCACTCCCAGATGGTTCCCCATCAGCGCCAATGCTCTCCTTCATCGCACCAATAACTTTGGTCTGGTCTGCTTCTATATCTAAGAAGTCGTCACTCCCAGATGGTTCCCCATCAGCGCCAATGGTCTCCTTCATCGCACCAATAACTGGGGCCTTGTCATCATCTTGATCCAAGAAGTGGTCATTCCCAGGCGGATCCCCTTCAGTGCCGATGATGCCCTTCACTGCACCATTAACTATGGTCTGATCTAAGCAGTCATCACTATCCGCTACGAGGTTCTCCTTCATATCTGTTTCTTCATCGTTGGGGTGTTGGGTTGTGTTTTCAGAAAGTCTCCAAACAGAACCGTTTGTCCCATCACCAGATAGGGCCAGACAGGCATCACAGGCGTCTTTGGGACTGGAATCCCAGCTGTTTGCCTTTGATATTGGATCTGTTTCTATTCTTTGTTCTGTTTCGTTTAGGTTGTGGATTTTCGCTCCTTCCTCCTCCTTGTGGACCTCACTGGTGTTCATGACTTGATGGCTAACCCGATTAACCTCTGCTGCTACAGAAGAACCTGGATTATCAGAGAGGGTCTGACATTGTCCATCGAACTCTTCCTGATCTTCAGGCCCCTTATTTCCGTGTTCTTCCTCTTCCTCATTCTGACTTTGTTCTCTGGGCTGGTCCGCCACGTGCTCCGCCTCCTCCTGCCCTACCGCAGCTAACATCAGGACATCTTCATCCACCTCCTCTGCTAGTTCCACATCTTCATATTCCCCCACCTCCCCCTCAGCCCCTCTGGGACTCTGGCCATCCGGATCAGAACATATGGCTACCGGGCTGTAGACGACGGCTCGGTTTGACAGGTCTGGCTGTTGGCAGGAGCTGAACTGAGCCATGAGGAACTTTAGATGAAAAGATGGGAAAATGTGACGCCAGGTTCCCAGGAGAGACTCGACTTAAGGACTTTCTGTGAGTTTCAGAGAAAGCTAAAAAAAAAGGACTCTGGACGGACAAGAAAAACAATTAATCTGAGTTTGCATACAAAACCTTTGGGTCTATCAGCATCCAGACATTATCAAAGAGATTAAAAAACAATTTGATAGAAAATAAAGAGCTTTTTCAAACCTTGACATTCATAGACGTAAAAATGTGTTGGTTTCTTCGCAATTCAGGCCCTGAAACATCAGAAAAGAAGAAATCCAGGAAGAGAATATGAATATTTTCCACTTGAAGGTTTGTTTTACGTCTTGATCTGAGGCTCCTGTGCTGCCGTCTGTTAGCCACTGCCTGATATCAACATGCACCACCTCCCTCCCTCCCTCCTTCTACTCCTTTTACTCCCCCCCCCCTCTTTCCAGAGATTAAAACAAGGCTGATCTCCAAATCACCACAGCCTCTAATCCTTGGATCCAGCAGCCAGAGGGAGGCTAACGCAGCCCAGGAGAACCCCTACTGGAACCTTCTCACTTCCAGCATTTAGAAACATTGATCCATCAGGTTCAATTCACATTAGAATAGCCTCTTGACTACCAGCAGTTCAGATTTGTCCTGTGGAGGACGTTTATAAAACCGAATATCGCATATTCACTCAATATTACTCAGTTAACTCCACACCAAGTGAGTGGCTTCTTCAGGAGACATTCTCCTCCAGTCTGGCTCTATGAGTTCTGAAACTCAGAGAAATGTGTTGCAAAAAGTCTGTTTTGCAGCAGTTTGGTTATGAAAGTCAATCATCATGACTTTTCCTTGATCATTCTGGAGATCTGGGCCTTTGGGCCTGGTTGCATGGTTTTATCTATTCCTTTGTGAATCCCCAGGCAACTTCAAGGAAAGAGAGTGAGATCCTCTTTGCTGTGGTTTATACTTTTCCCAGCTCTGCGGGGGGTGGGGGTGGGGGGTCTGGGTAAAACACCTTCCTCTTCTCCAGTGATCATGTAAGATAAAACATGGACATTGTCCACAGTTATGATCATGGTTTATGGCACAATGATGGCGTCCATCAGTTCAAGCACATTTTACAGAAACAGGAAAAGTAAGTGAAAAATATATATATACACTATATTGCCAAAAGTATTTGCTCACCTGCCTTGACTCACATATGAG